TCGTAAAACAAAATGCAAAAAAGTTTAACCAGAAGGTTTGACTTTGAGGAGAAACGTGTAATAAAAGATTTATTATATTTAAATTACACTGGTCGAAGCTTTGAATTAGATACAGCAATTATAATAGTTAAACATTCAATTTTTCAGGAGAACATATTGGTCAGAAGCTTTTAGTGCATGTTCATATTGTTTAATATAAAATTTTCACAAGATTTATTCAGTGATTTTTTAGATTTGATATTTTTGATCTAGACAAAGATGTTGCAACAATAAGCATAAATTAAATGCATTTAAGTAAAAACATCACCTCTTTATGAGTGTAGAAAATAATGATTATTTCAATAATAATAAAAGATCCATGAAATACTGCCCAGTCATGGACAAATAAAATTAGCGTTTAAAAGAATAAACTTGGTATTAAATAAAACATGCACGTATTGTTTTATAAAATACTTATCTCTCTATATATTGTTTAGAATTAATTAATATTTAAGTAAGGTATTGGTTGAGAGAAAAAAGTCAGTGACACGAGCGGGATTCGAACCCACGACCTTCGGTTAAATACGCCGCTGCTCTACCACTTGAGCTATCGTGACTTCGATCCACTCGAACACCAACTTCCCATCTCAACCCTGCCTTTTTTGGAATTTTCCAATCCTTTTGCCATTTTTCAAAAGTTTTCAATTAATTAATTGAAAGATTTTATTAGGTCAATCGAACCACGAATTCTAATCAATTTAATATGTTAAATGAAGTATATCTTCACTAAAGCTCTCCGTGACTATTTCGTTTGTAACCGAGAATCAAATAGATTACACGACTTTTCAAAAATGGCAAAAAGGATGGAAAATTAAAAAAAAGGTGGGGTTGAGATGGTGAGTTGGTGTCCGAATGGATCGACGTCACGATAGCTCAAGTGGTCGAGCAACGGCGTATTTAGTCGAACGTCGTGGGTTCGAATCCCGCTCGTGACACTGATTTTTTATCTCAACCCGTACCTTAATTAAAGATTAATTAATTGAAAGATGTTATTTGGTCAATCGGACCACGAAATCTAATGAATTGTTCAGAACGTATTATTTCATTTATGTTACTTTTCTTTGCGACGACGTCCGGCAAACGGAAAGATATTCCGTTTTTCTAGAGAACATATCGGGTGTGAAGCTATTAGGGCATTGTTAAATTTTTTTATTATTCAATTTTCTCAAGATTTAATCCATGGTTTTTTTAAAATTGGATTCTTTTGATCTTGACATAGATGATGCAAAATTAAGCGTAAATTAAACACTTCTAAGTAAAAATTTCACCCCTTTTGCGGGTTTAGAGAATAATTATTTTCTTAATAATTATGAAATAAGGGTTTACAACAATAAACGTGGTATTACATAAAACAGGCACGTATTATTTGACAAAATAATTATTTCTCTCTACATTCTTTAGAATTATTTCATTTGTGTTATTTTTCTTTTCAACGACGTTCGGAAAACGGAAAGATATTTTTCTCGACAACATATTAGGTAGGAAGCTTTTAGTGCAATGTTCAAATTTTTTAACGTACAATTTTCACAATTCTTTTCTATGGGTTCTTTTATTTGATATTTTCGACCTTTATAACGATGATGCGAAATTAAGCATAAATAAAACACTCCTAAGTAAAAATTTCACTCGAGAATAATTATTATTTTAGTAATAATAATAAAATAGGCGTACACAAGAATAAACGAGGTATTCAATAAAGCAGGCACGCATTATTTTATAAAATAATTATTTCTCTCTACATTCTTTAGAATGTATTATTCATTTTTATATTTATTTTATTTTATTCATATGTTATTTTTCTTTTCAAAAACGTCCGGCGAACGGACGTTGTTAAAAAAAATGAATTTGAAAAAAGGCAAAAAGGAGGGAAAATTCGAGAGGTGAGGTTGAGATGGGAAGTTGGTTCCGAGTGGATCGAAGTCACGATAGCTCAGGTGGTAGAGTAGCGGCGTACTTAGCCGAAGGTCGTGGGTTCGAATCCCGCTCGTGAGGCTGACGTTTTTTATCTCAACCAATTCTTTTCATAAATATTAATTAATTTAAAACGTAATATTTAGAAGAATTCGGCTTTAGTTTCGTGAAATCTTACTACAATGTTAAAATGGTTACTGTAACTATATGCATTGAATGACAAAAAATCGGACACTTGTTTGTTTATTTTCCATAAAAACTAGGTATAAAGATTAATAGTTGACTTAAAACGTAAATACAGCATTAATAACTTGTTGTTTATCTTTATACAGGGTTACTAATCCCTTTAATACTTTGTAGATTAAAAATACAGGAAATCAGTGCAATTTCATCCTTCCCAGAGCCAAATGGTGCAGTGGGTTAATTGGTTTTTTAAACTATTTTCTTTCATGAAACAATAATTTTTAGTGATTTTTTTTATTAAAAGTATGGTTTAATTCGAGAATATCTTGCCAGGGCAGATGCTTTGATCAAGGATAGGATCCCTTACAAAGCCCAAGTCGTGGGTGTGCCGATGGTCTACTGCGGTTTAGGGCACCGCAAGTCTCGATCGATGAGTTGTGGTCGACCGCGATGTACGACGGTTAGACACGTTCGTTTTATTTCTCTTACCGCACTACGGAACTGTCATTTAACGACGTCCATGATAGGTAGTCAACTCCAAACTAACCGAAACTTAAGGGTGAGGTTTAAAACAGTCATCAGACGGCTTCGTAGGAATAGCCTGGTTTCTGGATGTCCCGCATCAGGTTCTCAATTTGGAGTAGAAAGGCGACTATTTGCAAATGTGCATCTCAATTGGACACTTTGGAAATTCGGGGGGGGGGCTGTTCTATTTACAGATGACTACCAGTTTGTCTTGTGTCATGGAGACGATCGGGACGCTTTGCTTAATGTGCCATACATGAGTCACAGCCTTTTCGAAGACAGTTATGGAATGGGGTGAAATCAACAGCCATGCTCGTACCGAACTGATTATTATACAGAACGGATCTTTGACTGCACTAAAGTACATTGAAGATGTTCTTCTGGAAGCTGTAGTCCCATTCGGTCGGTATGGGGACAACTACGTTTTCATGCATGATAGCAAGAGTTGAACAGTTTCAAACCGCTCTTGTTGAAGAATAGGATTCTGTTTCTATTGACTCTATTCGTTTTTTGAAGTTCACTGACAATTCCAGCTTTTACTATTTATATAAAACTGCCGGCAGACTCGACTATCACCCACCCCGGTGTGCACTCCGGGGGCAGATCTTATTCTTATCCGTTCAGCCACCGAGGCCGGTCTCCTGTCAACAGCTAGTTCAATTCAGCATGCACTTCCAACTCCATTCATACTCACGTTCATTCTTAAATTCATTCACTCCTATTCACATATCATACATTCAAGTATCATATCGGAATACTCGTTATTCCTCCATCGCCCATTACACGTAGTATGCATTTAACCTAATTGGGTACTGACATTACGACATCGACCCTCTCACATCATACAGTCGAGCTAATAAATACATCCACTCTTAACACAAGCTAGATATACAAAACTACTATTAATTATTACAATACAACAGCCAAGTTTCCTTCAAGAATCGAAACAGGTGACCCCCTTCAGCGAGGTTAGTTATTAGTCAGTTATTAACAGCAAAACAAGGTCATAAATTGTTGGTTCAATTTTAATCTATCATAAAATTATTTTCCGTTGTTTTGGTGAATTTTCTTTTAAACCGTCGTAATTAAATAACATTTATTATAACTACATTAAATTCACCAATTTCGTGGTCCACTTGACCAATTAATATTTTACAATTAATTAAGGTTTTTAGTTGAGATAAAAAAAGTCAGTGGCACGAGCGGGATTCGAACCCACGATTTTCCGCTAGATACGCCTCTACTCTACCACTTGAGCTATCGTAACTTCGATCCACTCGGGCACTAACTTCCCATCTCAACCCCACCTTTTGAATTTCCCTCCCTGAACAGTACCACTTTTTTAAGAGGATATTGTGTTGTCACACGACATTTGAAAAATGGCAAAAAGGAAGGAAAATTCAAAAGGTGGGGTTGAGATGGAAAGTGAGTGTCCGAGTGCATCGAGGTCACGACAGCTCAAGTGGTAGAACAGCGGCGTATCTAGCCGAAGATCGTGGGTTCGAATCCCGCTAGTGACACTGACGTTTTATCTCAACTAAAAACCTTAATTAATTGAAATTTATTATAACGCGTAAATTTCTGATCGCGTTTAATTTGATTTACTTTAAAATAAGAATGCTGTAATTAATATAATGATAAATATATATACAGTCCGAAATAAACAACAAAAAACGAGTGTCAAGTTTTTGTTTGTACATTGTGAATGTTATTTTATGATGAATCCATGATGATCGTGATAAAAATGAATCCATCGATTTAATAACCTGGAAATGTATTTTTTTATTAATTAATATTTACGAAAGGTATTGGTTGAGATAAAAAAGTCAGTGTCACGAGCGGGATTCGAACCCACGACCTTCGGCTAGATACGCCGCTGCTCTACCAGTTGAGCTGTCGTGTCCTCGATCCACTTGGACACTAACTTCCCATCTCAACCTCAACCCTCGAATTTTCCCTCCTTTCTACCATTTTTATATCTCAACCAATACCTTTCATAAATATTAATTAATTGAAAAATGTTAATTGGTCAATCGAACCACGAACCGTAATGGAATTGAAATTATGATGTACAAAGGTAGAATATCATATTTTTTAAAACTGTCTAAACTACTTATTTATCTAATTTTGTCTCGGCTCCAAGGGCCTATTTAAATGAACGCTCGGGCACGTATCTAATAGTGTCATCTACCTACTACCACCACAAAAATCTACATGTCAAAAAGCAGTCATATTTTTTGAGTTATTTTGACAATCAATAAAAACAACACTATGTAAAGTAATAGGAAATATGTGCCTAGTAATGTGTGCCTCGATTTTTATGTAGTTTTACTTATTTTCAGATGGGGGAGGGGAGGTGACGGATTTGGGACGAGCTATGGCCAACGGATCGGCCGAATATACGCCAGATGCTGATCTCAGGGACACCGCCAATCGCAGCTCTGTTTATTCCATCGGCCCAGCTTTCATCAATCAATGGTTAGTTACAAGTTCAAGCTGCTTTGCATTTAGATCCACGTCCAATTCAGAACAGTTTGAATTTGATGATCTATTCCTCCATGTATGGAACGACCGCGAATTTTAGCGAAATTCAGTACATATGCTTTGGCAAAAATACTCGAATTTTTTGGTTGCCGGTTGAATCTCCCTGTTGAATTAGGAAAAAGATTGAATGAATATGCCGACAACACCGGGATTGGGGTTGAAATATTCATCAGAACAGTTATTGCCCTGTTAGAGGATTGCTTGCCATGTAAGGCGCCGGAGGGAAGTGTTATTTCCAACCCTCCCCGGGGTTCCACAGCTTTTTTCCACACCTGCACCTGCGAGCTGATCGTATCTGACAGAAATTCTAGGAAGGAAGAAGATTACTTTTCATTCCCAGCACTCATCCAGTGTAATGTGTTAATTATTGGTACACGGCTTATGAACACTTCGACAAATCGGTATGTCAAACTAATTTTTATTTAATGATTTAAAATACTGACTAGAAATTACAATATTGTAAGCGCAAAATAATAATAAAATGATAAAAATTAATGACTAAAAATGAATGTTTGCGATAAACCTACGGATATTTCAGAAAATGTTTTGCCGAAAGTCATAAAAATTATGTTTCATGTAAGTAACTGTGTTATTATAATATTGTAATAAAAAGATAACCAAGATAAAGGGAATCTCCGTATTAAATTTAAATAAATTAACATATCCTCTTAAACCCGGCGTTTCATGTCAGTCCTTTGCCATCGGCACTGTGTGGAGAAAGCAGTAAATTAAAAGGGTTAGCAGTTAGAAGGTCGGAGGAAGGGCTGCTTCTTCCCTTCTCCGAGAAAGGGAAAGAGAAGGGTTGCCATTAGGGCCTGTTCCCTACACTGAGAAAGCAAGTTATAACCTTGCTAACAACTCTCCAATCAATCCGCTACCTTTGTTCCCCCTGGTCCCCTCCTCTTTTTACTTCTGCTAATTAATTTTACTCAAATATTCTCCTTTCCTCCGCTTAGATTTCCTCGCCTTTGTTCAACTTAGCCGGGCCGTAAAGTTTTTTAAAGCGGACGTCCGGCGGAGCAGGAAGTTTTAGAGCTTGGGACCTTTTTACATAGTTGTGTATCTTACGGAAGACACTTTTCTCAAGTACAACTAGGCCATGAACAGAGACACGTTCTGTAGCTTAATAAACTGTTTATTCTTAAAAAATCACTGGATTTAATTTTTTTTTAAATAAATAGTCTCTTAGGAATGAAGGATGCTTTAAAATAGTTTCACGATATGTTTACTATCCACTATTTGGGGACTTTTCTTAGCATATCCCACGCATTTGATCGGGTATGCAACGAGGGTTAGTTATGGATGCAAACTCTCTCAAAAAGATATTTCCAAGGCACCTCTTCTTCTTCTGTTTATCCGATTTTAGCCTGCATCCCCTCAAGGAATCAGGATAGCTCCATTACTTTACTCCCCAATGACCTTAACCTTGACAGGCTCATAGGCCGATTATAAGTAAATCCTTAAAACAATGATCCTGTTCTTTTTGCAATCTTCAATCTTTTCTTATTTCGTAGAACCCTAACTTTGAGAGGATGAGCTCGAACGACAAAGTTGAAGTCATCAGTGTTGTTAGTTATGAAGAAATCGGCGGTACTAAGGGAGGGGGGCAGGTCGTTAACATAGAGCCGAAATAGTGGGCCTGGTATGCTCCCTCGAGGCATTCCTGTATTATCATCCTTAATGAGGACTGATGCGCGGAGTCATCGCTTTCCTGGAGATATGACTCAAATGATTTGAGCGCAAGGACATACACCTCCTTTGGATAAATTTAAGAACGTCTTAACTACATAATCTCTGCATATAGTTTGTCGGGCCAAAAAGTGCCGTGTCTCTTGTTTTACCTTTCAAAAAGCCACGTTAGGACTTGAAACATGATCCTCATTTATTAAAACAAAAAAGACGATCGTGCGTAATATGTGCACTAGTTGTTTTATAGTATTTGTTCACTTGATACTTAAAAGTGTCCGGAAACTATCTTTGACCGAACATCACAAACGTTTGATGTCCCAGTTAGACCATCCACTACGATTTAAATATACCGTAGGTCCCGTCGCAAAACATTTCACTCCAAGCTGTCCTATCATTGTTATCGCTTGATTCGCAACCTATCTAGATCAGCTCTTCCTGCCGGCACTTGTAGGAAACCCCTCCATTGATACCTCTGAGGTCTGTCTGCTATTGACTTCACGCCGCAAAGGTCAATAAGGCCCATTTTCGTAGGATAGTGGCCTTTCATATTTTATTAGGTGTAAAATCCGAATTTCTCTCTCTGAAATGTTGGAAGAGTTTTAGGTTATTCAAAACTTAGGTTATTCCGGACTTTCAATTTTACGCCGTATCGCTTTCATCTTGTCCAGGGACAAGATAGGCGTCTAACGTTCCTTGTACAAATGTCGATTTGGGAAGCTGAAGAAAACGCTCTGCATACATCCTATGGACTGATGAATCCAAGTTCACCTCTGGTTGTATACTAAACCATTGGAATTTTCGAACTTAGGCAGAGGAAAATCCGAGAATTTTTTCATCATCTCGTGGTTCTCAGTATCAACGTTTGGTATGGACTTCTCGGAAATAAATTAATTGGTTCTTATTTCTACGAAAATAATTTAAATGGTGCTCAGTTCCTCAATTTTTTTGGGGAGGTTTTTACAACACTATTAGATGATGCTCCTCAGGAACATTTACAAAGAATGATTCTCCAGCTTGATGTATGACCCGCACCCAATTCATTGAAGGTGAGATGTTATTTGAATCGTCACTTCCCGGAGAGGTGGTCAGAACCTTGACTATTTTCTGTAGGGCCATTATAAAAAACAGTTTCTACGCCAATCATAACCCAGCACTATTACTCTGAGCACCGGTGAAGAATGGTTAAAAGAAAATCTTTGCATCTTTACGCAAGGCAGGCAGTTCGAACATGAAATGTGATTAACAAATAGCAAACCTAATGACTGCTTTTTAAAACTTTGCCATTTTTTAACCAATTTTAAATTCTATTGCGCCATTGTTTTCAGCGTAAAACGTCTTTTAAAATGATGTCAGGATGTTTCGGGTCGTATTTGAAATTTTGAAGTTGAACTGGGCCTGAGATACTCTGTATAATTTTTCTCTAAAAAAGCTGAAAATTTGAAACTATACTAAAAAATATTAAACACTTTTTTTGTAATGGAGTCATTGGTTAAAGAGAAATAATCAGCCGGGCCTTCTAAAAGGACACCCTGTATATGCATGCAATATTGTGTGTGGGCAAGTATATGTCTATACAGGGTGTCCTGTGACCAGACTTCAATACATCAGGAGGTTACTTTACATCTCAAATGGGATAGGTCTGATTCTCAAGTGGATTTCAGATATTTCCCTTTTCGTGTTACCTCACCCATAAAGCCTCTGTCTCTCATAACCTATTATACCAAATATAAATTTGATTACATCAATGGAAAGAGCATAAAATCGTATAAAATTCATAATTGAATATTTAGAAGTTTGTTGTTTTTCTTATCCTCCATTTTGTACTAGTCTTTTTTATTTACTTTGTTTTACTTTTAATATATGTTTCAACGTTTATTGACTAGTTTTTACACAGTTTGTAACCAAAATATCAATTTTTTAGCAATAATAAATTTTACACCGGTGATGAGAAATTAAGTACACGTGTTTACTTTTATAACTTTTCTGTAAGTGCCTTATGAGTACCATTTAAGAAAATTTTACTTAAAATTTAGTCAAGCGCTATGAAAACTCGTAAAATTTTTTGTCCTGACCGATTTTATATTTTGTTTTATTATAGCTACAATAAAAACAACTAACGTAGAAATTTTAAATTTACTTTTCATTTTTTAAGTACGGTAAAATTTGTTTGAGATACAGGGGCTTTGTGTGAAAAGTTATGAAAGGTTGAAGTAACTCGAAAAGTGACATATCTCGAAACAATTCTAGCTTTAGACAATAAGGACTTTTAAGTCCCATTTGACATGAAAAATAACCTCCTGAAGGTCGTCGGTTCACGGGGCACTCTGTCTATTTTGACAATACCGTCACTTTTGCTTGTTGCATTTTAATTACCTCAGGTTTCACAATTCTGTAGAGTTTTTTCAACCAAAGTTTTTCCAATTGGCCATAGCCAGAGTGTGTCCTTTTGTTTGGCTGAGAAATCATAATAAAATATTGAAACCTGAGATAATTGAAATTTCAACGCCAGAAATCAAATTCATATTTCATTAATAAATTTTATTCACTGGTTTTCGTGGTCCGCTTGACCAATTAATATCTTTCAATTGATTCAGGATTTTAGTTGACATAAAAAAGTCACGAACGGGATTCGAATCTCCGACCTTCGGCAATTGTACGAATGTGAGGAAAATTCCTGTTTTGCGATTTTTAAAAATATAAATTGAACATTAAAAATTATTACTAATTAAATTATTACTACATATTTGGTCTTTTAGAAGACCATAATAAAATAAATTGCAAATAAATTGAAAATTAAATACAATTAAATTTGCTTTGTATTTATAATATATATAAACGGACATACTAAGCGAAGGTTTTTTTTTGTAGCATTTTATAAGGTTTCGTGGTCCGCTTGAACAAATAAATTCTTTTCAATTAAAAAGTCAGTGTCACGAACGGGATTCGAACCCACGACCTTCGGCTAGATACGCCGCTGCTCTACCACTTGAGCTATCGTGACTTCGATCCACTCGGACACTAACTTCTCATCTCAACCCCACCTTTTGAATTTTCCCTCCTTTGTGCCATTTTTCAAATGTCGCGTAATCTATTTGATTCTCGGCGACAAATGAAATGGCCACGTAGAGCTTTAGTGAAGGCATACTTCATTTAAACTTATTAAATTCATTTGTTTTCGTGGTCCGCTTGACCAATTAATATCTTTCAATTAATTAAGGTTAGTTCAGATAAATTCTTTGTCGCCG